ACTGCGGTCGCTCGTATACAAGTTCAATTGGTTGGGCCGTGAGGTCCGACCCGAAGCCGCAGGTGTAGCCGGCATCCTGGCCAGCAAGCTGAACCAGGCCAGGACCGGGGATGTGATCACGGCCAACAAGTTGGCTCGCCATCTGCGCTCTACGGCTTCCAGGGGACTCGCTGTGTGGCGACTCGACCCAGACAGGATGGCCTTTTTGTCTTTCTCGGACGCCGGTGGCATTGGCTCCGCCGACGGCCTGGATGACGAGCGTGGGCTGCCGGTCGATCCCACACAGGGAGCTTGGATGGTCCTGGCGGCCGATCGATCTGTGTTGGACAACCGTGCAGTCCGGGCTTCGATTCTAGGTTGGAGGTCGTCCAAGCTAAGACGAAAGGTGCCATCCACACTGGCGGGAGAGACGCAGGCTTTATCCGCAGCAGTTGCAGAAGTAGAGTTTTTACAGATCATGTATCGGGATGTGGTCTTCCACGATGTGGACACTCCCGATTGTCGTCGAGCCTCCGGACCATTTACAACCGTGCTGCGACGAGACTGCTCTCTCGGATCTCGTGAGAAGCAGGTGCATGTGGTCGACGCCAAGTCGATCTACGGTACGATGCAGAAAGAAGGCAATGCGTGCGCGCGGGACCGGCGCACGGCCATTGACCTCGCCATCATCTGTGAGTCCCTGGAGCGAGCTCGTGGCCATGTTCGCTGGATCCCACACGGGCGGATGCCAGTGGACGCTCTCGCCAAGGAGGACGTCGCGAAGTGCAATGCCGCTTTGTTCGATTTAACGTCCCATGGCCGCCTGATTTTAGTCGACGAGAGCTCAGAGGTGGCGAGACGCCGCTCCGAGCCGCAGCTCAAGAGTCGATCGCAAGCAGCTTCGAGAGAAGAACTCGCTCGGGAGTCTCAGCCCACATGGATCCAGTTCCTGTCGGGGAGTTCTGCCGGTGGTGGTAGTAGTGGTGGTGTCGGCGCAGTTTGCCCTTGCCATCTCCGCTCTTTCAGTAATAATTTTCTCGTGTGCAGTTTCTGTCCTTTCTTATCCCCTCTCCGTTCAAGTAGAGAAGGGGGCCGTTCCAGCGCAGGAACGGATAGTTGCTTTTAGTTGAGCCCAAGAGGGTGCTAAACCTAGGAGAAGTCGGACGGGTGTGACTGATCTCCAGAATTTACGTATTAGGTTTAGCATTTGAGATCTTTACCTTGGTAGTCCTACCGAGTTGCAGCGTGTGCTCGGTGTACTGTTACCCTCTCTGGCTCAAGCCCAAAAACGTTCATCCAATCCTGTGCTGCCACAGGCAGCAGTGGGGATGATGGCGACGATGGTGATGCAGCCGATGTTGATGATGATGATGGCGATGGTACGGGGTGATTCTGGCGATGCTGACTATGGTGTTGGTGAGGGTGATGGAGAAATGCGCGCTCGCATGTCGTCAGAATTTCTTCACACTTTCATTAAACAGCCATGGGGCTTGTCGTAGGTGTTTGAACACTTTTGTGTTGACATGCTCAGTCAATCATTTGGTATCGAAGGATTTCGACGTATGCGAGCGGAGATTCGCGCGTATGCGCAGCATGGTCTTATTTGACAGAGTTGGCGGGCGCGTGATGGTTGTTGAATGTTTGGGAATGTGCGCGGGTGTGGCACGCATGCGATCACTTGTCAGACTTTTTAAACACCATTGATGGTCTTATTGTTTGAGCGAGTGTGCGCGCGCAGAAATTAGGTAAACTTTGTGGGGCAACCAATGGCATTCCATAGTTTTGAGCATATCTGCCTCTTAAAACGCAGTTGTTTTTGAAATGCTTTTGGTATGTGCACTCGGCGTATTTTCCTCAACTCTCCCTTGTTTGGGTTCTCGTTTTGAACAGAGCACCGTGGTCTCCATCACCCACTCACTCACTCACTCACTCGCTCACTCACTCATTCACTCACTCACTCACTCACTCACTCAGTCCTCGCCCCTCCTCCTTCCTCCCTCCTTTCTCCTCCTCCTCGTTTTTCTGGACCCTCCCTTGGTTGGGTTCTCGTTTTGAATAGAGCACTGTGGTCTCCACCTTCTCCCCCTCCTCCCGCCTTCCCCTTCTCCCTCCTCTTCCTCTCTCCTCCCGCCTGCCTTCTGCCTCCTGCCTCGTGCCCGCGGTCTGCGAAGCTGTCGGCATTTTCGTGGTCTTCTGGGAGGGCCAGTGGAAGTACGTCCCATACAGTTTACCACGAGACCTTGCCGCCCCCTGGGGGGCTGCGATCAAACTGTCGCTGCTTTCGTTGGCTTCTGGGAGGGCCAGCGGAGGTACGTCCCACGCAGATGACCACGAGACCTCGCCGTCCCGTGGGGAGGCTGCGATCTGCGAAGCTGTGGGCATTTTCGTGGCCTTCTGGGAGGGCCAGCGGAAGTACGTCCCACGCAGATCACCACGAGACCTCGCCGTCCCCTGGGGGGCTGCGATCTGCGGAGCCGTCGCCACTTTTCGGGCTTCTGGGAGGGCCAGCGGAGGTACGCCCCGCGCAGATCATCACGAGGCCTCGCCGTCCCCTGGGTGGCTGCGATCTGCGAAGCCGTCGCCACTTTCGTGTGCTCCTGGGAGGGCTCAGCGGAAGTACGTCCCACGCAGATCACCACCAGACCTCGCCGTCCTTTGGGGGGGCTGCGATCTGCGAAACTGTCGCCACCATCGTGGGCTCCTGGGAGGTCCAGCAGAGGGGTGTCCCACGGGGACCACCATGAAACCTCCCTGCGCTGTTTGACCGCAGATCGCAGCGGGATGGAGCGTCACGGAGCGCATGGCGCTGTCATGTGCCCATGCCGCGCCGAATTTTCAGTTGCTTATTGTCCGTGGTGCGCTCGGGCACTTGCAGCGCTTAGCGCAGGGCGCTGTTCTGTCTTAGCGCGCATGGCGCTGTTCTGCAATGGGAGCCTGGCGCGATGCGCTGTTACTCCTGGGAAGCATGTCTCCGGTTCCCCCTCGTCAATATATTTCCACGACCCCTCGTGGCCGCCTTCCTGCCAACGGCCTGCCTCTTAAGAGTAATGCCGCGAATGTGAAAGATTTGACTTTGACCCAACGTTCTTTGGCGAAGCGTTCAAGAGCACGGTGGATCCTTCAGTGCTTGCTTTTGTATTGAGCGGTCCGGTGTATAGTCGCCTCATGTGTACAAAGGGGGCGTCTCATACAATACGCTTCTTAGATCAACGCATATGCACCGCATTGTGTCTTGACAGGGGTGAGGGTCGGGTGGTGCCGGGACTGGCCGGCATGCTTTTATTCGATATGCGGGACGATGGGTATTACACCATACATTTGACAAGCAATACCCCGAGGAGTACGGATCAATCTAGATTTTGCAGGGGGTGTATCGAAGACGCCTGCGGCGAATCACCGCCGCCCCCTGCCTTTTTGGAAACGCCGATGTGGCCGAAAGTTGGACTAGAGCTTGGCCAAGCTATCGGACCATGAGTTCCCCGAGTCGGTTTGGAAAGCTTTCGGGGAACACATGGGAGAGAATGATTATGAACAGGAAGAGGAAGAGGAAGAAATAGAGTAGGAGGATGAGGGTTGTTAGGAGTCTCTTGGGGCACCCTTGGGGTCTGTTGGGGGCTTCTTGGGGGCCTCTTCGAGGCCTCTTGGAGGCATCTTGGGGGCCTCCTTGGGCCTCTTGGGGGCCTTTGGGGGCTTCCTGGGGGTCTCTTTGGCCGTCTTAGGGCGTTCCTGGTCCGTCTGACGCCGTCTGGAGCCGTCTTGGGGGCCTCTCTGGGCCGTCTTGGGGCCCTCTTGGGGCGCTTCAGGGCCGTCTTGGAGGCCATGTTGGGCGTCTTGGAGGCCTCTTGGGCCGTCTTGGGGCGCTCTTGGGGCCGTCTTGGGGGGCCCTTGGGCCGTCATAGGGCCTTCTTGGAGGCCTCTTGGGCGATCTTGGGGGCCTCTTGGGCCGTCGGAAGGCCGAAAAGAAGAAAACGCAAAAAACCTTCAAAAACCTAAGGAAAACCAATGATTTTGGCCTCTTCGGGCTCTCCTGGAGAACGTCTTGGAGGCCTCTTGGGCCATCTTGGAGGCATCTTGGGGCCATCTTGGCCGTCTTGGAGGGCATCTTGGGCCGTCTTGGAGGCATCTTGGAGCCATCTTACCCGTCTTGGAGGCCATCTTGGCCGTCTGGGAGGCATCTTGGAGGCCATCTTGGGCCATCTTGGCCGTCTTGGAGGCCATCTTGGGCCAAGTTGGGGCAACAAAGGCATTGACAGACGGATTTTGGGAAAATTACGGGTGGCCGGCGGGACGGAGGAGGAGGAGGAGGAGGGAGGAGGAGTAGGAGGGAGGAGGAGGAGGAGGAGGTGGAGGCGGAGGAGGAGGAGGAGGAGGAAAAAGAGGAAGAACATGAGGAAGAGGAATACGAGGACTAAGAGGAAAACTATCAATAGTAAGAATACGGAGGCGACTAAGAAGCGTATCACTCATAATAATCAGCATACGAATAGTAATAGTAAGACTACTAGTACCAAGAACAATAAGGCTAACAATACTTTTCTTAACATACAATCATGAAGAAACACATGACTAATTATATTAAGCATCGTAATACTATAATACGAATTATAGGGAGAATAATCGTAATAAGACGTGTAATCATACGAAGCAGAATATACATACTCATGTTAATACTAATACTAGTAATACTGATACCGATACTACTACTACTACTACTACTACTACTACTACTACTACTACTACTACTACTACTACTCATAATCGTACTAATACTAATATTGTTAATAATACTGCTAGCAATAACAATAATACTAATAGTAATAACACTAAGAAAATAATACTATGAATAATACTAAGAATAATAATACTAAGAAGAAGATGATGAGGAGGAGAGGGAGGAGGAGGTGGAGGAGGAGGTGAAGGGATAGTGGAAGTTGGAGGGGGCGCGTGTGCTGGAGCGGACGTGACGGGTCTTTTGCTACGGCAGACGGCAGCGGTCGGGGAGTGTCCATCTAGCAGCCCAGGCTCGTGTCCTTCCTCTTCGTGAACTTTGCCTACCCCGTGTTGCTGGTCTGCTTCAGCGTCGCCGTGGTGTGGTGCTCTCGGGAGGGCTGCCGCAAGAGCGAGGACTTCGAGGCTCGACCTCACACGATGAGCTTCATGTTGGGGTCTCAAATGTTTGTTCAGCAATGCACGACGAGTCTGGATGTGATACAATCGAAGACGCTTGCGGCGAATCACCGCCGCCCCCAGCCCTTTGGAACCGCCCGTGCGGCCGAACGTTGTGGCCAGAGCTCTGCGAAGCTATCGGACCATGTGTTCCCCCAGCCGTTGTGAAAACCCCTCGGGAAACACTTGAGGGAGGATGGCGGGGAAAATCAGGAGGAGGACGAGGAGGAGGAGGAGGAAGAGGAGGAGGAGGACGAGGAGGGGGCATCTTGAGAGCCTCTGGGGGCACTCTTGGGGTCTCATGGGAGCTTTCTGGGGGTCTTTTGGAGGCATCTTGGGGACCTCTTGGGGGCCTCTTGAGCTGTGTTGGAGGCCAGTTGGGGGCCTCTTGGGCCGTCTTGGGTCATCTTGGAGCCATCTTGGGCCGTCTTGGTAGCTTCATCGGCGGACTTGGAGGCATCTTGGACCCTCTTGGGCCGTCTCGGAGGCCATTTTGGACCATCTTGGGCGAACATGTAGGCTAGATTGGGCGATCTTGGCCGTCTTGGAGGCGATTTGGGGAATTGAGGAGGACCTTTCGGCGGTTTTTCCGGGTGGCCGGCGCACCTGGGCCGAAGCCCCAGGGGGAGTCTTAAAAAGAACCCAGAATTTGTAATAATTTTCGCACGTCATGCACCCCTGTGATAAATCAATCGGGGGCGGCGGATCGAAGACGCCTACGGCGAATCACCGCCCCCCCCTGCCTTTGTGTAAGCGCCTATGTGGCCGAACGTTGAGGCCAGACCTGCCAAGCTATCGGACCATGTGTTCCCCGAGTCGGTTTGGAAAGCCTTCGGGGAACACGTGGGCATCTTGGAGGTCATCTTGGCCGTCTGGAGGCCATTTTGACCCTTTCGGGCCTTCTTGGAGAAAGGCTTGGAGGGCTCTTGGACCGTCTCGGAGGCCATCTTGAGCGTCTTGGAGACCTCTTGTGCCGTCTTGGGGGCCTCTCGGGGCCGTGTCTTGGGCCTCTTGGGCGATCTTTGGGGGCACTTGGGCCGTCTCGGGCCGTCGGAAGGCAGAAAACAAGCAAATGCCACAATCCTTCAAAAACCCATGGGAAATCAATGATTTTGGCCTTTTCGGGCCTTCCTGGAGGCCCTCTTGGAGGCCTCTTGGGCCGTCTTGGGCCATCTTAGGGCCATGTTCGGCCGTCTTGGTGGGCTCCTGGTCCGTCTGACGCCGTCGGAAGCCGTTTGGGGGGCCTCTGACTTGGGGCCCTCTTGGAGTGCTCCAGGGCCGTCTTGGAGGCCATCTTTCGCGTCTGAAAGGCCTCCTGTGCCGTCTTGGGGGCCTCTTGGGGCCGTCTTGGGGCCCTCTTGAGCCGTTCTGGGGCCATCTTGGAGGCCTCTTGGGCGATCTTTCGGCGATCTTTGGGGGCTCTTGGGCCGTCTCGGGCCGTCGGAAGCCCGAAAAGAAGCAAATGTCAACATCCGTCAAAAACCTTACGACAATCAATGTTTTTGGCCTCTTCTGGCCTTCCTGGGGGCCCTCTTGGGGGCCCTCTTGGGCCGTCTTGGGCCAGCTTCGAGCCAACTTCGGGCATCGTAGCGGATTCCTGGCACGTCTGACGCCGTCGGGAGCCGTCTTGGGGGCCTTTCTGGGCCGACTTGGGGTCCTCTTGGGGCGCTTCGGGGTCGTCTTGGAGGCCATCTTGGGCGTCTTGGAGGCCATCGTGCGTCTTGGAGGCCTCTTGGGGCCGTCGTGGGAGCCTATTGGGCCGTCATGGGGCCATCTTGGTGGCCTCTTGGGTGATCGTGGGGGCCGTCTTGGGCCGTCGGAAAGCTAAAAGGCGCAAATTCCAAAATCTTTCAAAAACCAAAGGAAAATCAATGATTTTGGCCTCTTCGGGCCTTCCTGGAGGACCTCTTGGAAGCCTCTTGACTCTAAAGTGAGCTGGGGGCACAGGTGAGCGGAAACGAACGTGTGCCCGCGGCTGCTTGGCTCAAGCGGCCGGCCGCACAGATCTGACTACACCTCAGCGCGAGGTGTACTATTTGCCATCGATACCAAAATACTGCTTGAGATGGCTCCCCCTCTCCTACTGGGACTATCGTTGCTACGGTACGACAGAGCTGGTGTTTGGCTTCGCCTAAGGCGAAGCTGTTGGTTGGGTCTCCGAACTCCTTTCAAACTTGGTAGCGGAGCTGGCCAATCGTGGTCAGCTCTAGCTCTACTCCTCACCATCCACGGCACTATCTGGTGGATTACAGACGTGGTGGAACATCAGGGTGCAGTGGGTTTGCGCGGAGAAATGTATATAACTACGCAGTTTAGCAACGACACTTGCAGTGACACCTCTGCTTACGCGGAGGCCTATTACTTTCGCCCTGCATCCCTGCGCTACTTCACTCCTGAAGTCCACCCGCCTACTCCACGTGGAAACTTCTTCGAAGACATAATGCATGGAAACGTGCGATACGACGCGGTGCCGCCTCCACCCCCACGCAGACCTACGACTACACATCGAAAGCCCCAACCGACTACATCCGACTGCGACCTGCGCGGCCATTGGATTAGTGTTACTATCTTTGGGCTCGCATGGGTCGCTATCGGGTGCCCGGTAGGACATATGCGTGGCGGCGACGACACAAGAACGACCGGCCATCATTGGGACCCAGCCGGTCAGGTACCTTTTCGCGAATTCGTCCGCGAGGTACGTGCCTGGATCAACGTGACCACAGGCAACATGACGCCCTCCCAACAAGCTGCAGCCCTGCAGCGAGTTTTGGGAGGTTTCGCAAGGACCATAGCCATGAGAGTTCCCCCAGCAGTTATCAATTTTGGCGTTAACATAGGTGGTCGCCATGCCGACGGCGCCCCCATGCATCTTGTTACCCGTAAGCACGAAGTTCGAGAATTTAGAAGAGGAGTGCCAACTTAACTCTGGCACAGCTCTCATTGACTTCCGAGTCCATGCGGGGGAACGAATCGACCAGACGTTGGCGCGCTTCGAGATAGCACAATATTCAGCTGAAGCGGCAGGCTTTAACGTCCCCAACTTCCAAATCTTAGCAGCTATTCTATTTAGTGCTCTTGGAGTGGGGCCATCGCGTGCACGGCAACTCCTGCAGCCACGCAACCACCACATGCCGAGAGACCAGCAACAGTTTGACGCTCTACTCGAACGCATGAGGTCATATGCGCACATTGCTGAGAAAACCCCAGGCAATATTGGTGGCATTTTCAGTCGCGGTCACCGAGCCGAGACCTTTCACGTTGAGGCAAACGCAGGGCAACCTGCTAATAACCTCTGGAATGACGATCCACAACCAACTGAGACCACTACGCTACTGGCTCAGAATGGTGGATCGGCCTCGGGGTCGCAAGACTCCCGGGCCAGGTTTCGGGGGCCGCCCGACGCGGTGTCCCCTACGCAAGCCATGGCCATGGGCTCAGCGGGACAACCTGCCGAGTCCGACTTAGACTCCGGTACTGATGCCGATGCGTCTTCTTGCGACGAGGCCGCAGCCCTGGACTATTCCGACATGCTTACATACCTCACGGAAGAACAACAGGCGCAATGGTTATTCTTAGGATACCAGAAACATAAGCGCAGACGGAGGCGATTCATGAAGAAGCCAGTCCGTAAGGAACGGCGTATCGTCCGACGAGCACTCATGGGAAAAAGGCAAAGGCCGAGGTAGGGGTAAAGGTGAACGTCGGCGATTGCAGGCCAGAGGCATATTAGCATTCCTAGCGTCCCTTACCGGGCCACAGTACGAAGAGACATTTTTAGGTACAGGCAGAAATCGCAGGCACGCATCAGGAAAAGGTAAGGGACGTCGGGAAATTCCGAAGGATGCCAATGGTAAGACTATGCAGTGCGACATATGCCATAGCGCGCAGCACTTTCGCCGCGAATGCCCTCAGGGCGATGGGGGTGGCAGGGGTCCGTCGATACATCTGGCTCAAATTGACTCTGACATGCGGTAGGTTGACTGGGAGTCTCTTTTAGCTGACCCTGCCGATAGCTCAGCTGCACTTGTTAATTCCATGGCTGGCAGATATTTGAGTGCCAGTGTGTCCCTCGAGAATTGCGCCGACGAGTTGTTCGAGGAGGTGTTCACTGGCCACGATGATATCGATCTGGCAGGCTGGCTGGGCATGCCCATCGCGGGGCAATCTGCAGATATCGAATTTGTCGAGAACTTCCACAGGCCCGCTGAAGGAGATGATGAAATGGCGGGGGCACCCTCGGATTCTGAAGCCATCACTCTTGCGCTAGAGGGGCAAATGCAGTTGATGCTATCCTCGGGCTATTGGAAATCCTACAAACATGGAATTATGTGACGATGATCTTTTGCGGGGAAACCCGGGGGGCGTCGGCGATTTGTCTGGGCGCGCTCAATGTGTGCTTGGCCGTAATGAAGAAATTCAATGCGCATCTGTAGCTTCGGACCGTTCTGTGAGCCGCCAGGGGCGATCGGCAAGCCGCCAGTTCTTGGAGGCGCAAGTGTCGCGCCGACGACGATGGCGAAGAATGGGAAGATGACGTTCGTTTGGTACGCCGCGGTCGGATCCCCAGTCGCTCGCCCAACCGTGCGCGTGCGCGCTCCAGTGGCGCTCGCTCTAGCGGCCTTCGGTGCCCTCATCCTCCTGGCGCGGGGCGTCCGAAGACCCCTCCATGGCGGGCCAATCGACCCGGCGCCCCCCCGAGGAGGGAGCGTTTGCGGAGGCGCCCGCGTCGAGGAGATCAACCTCGAGAATAATGCCCAGAAGACGGAACGCAGCGCCTTGTTGGCTACGCGGATGTTGGACTAGCTCGTCCGTGCATGCGCCCAGATGCGATGCAATACAGGTTGGGCGAGGGTTGGACTGAGCCCCAGGTTCGTTACTGGTATTCTCTTCGCAGTGTTGAACGAAATGAACAGGGCAAGATGAGTCGCTCAACAAGGACAGGACCTGTCAAAGCACAAGAAAAGCTTATCAGGCGCGGCCTCAAGAGGGCTATCGTCGAGGAGCGGAAACTTTACAAAGGCGTTGTTTGCGCGTGCCCCGAGTGTGCAGATCA